GGTCTGGTTACTACCGTTTATGTCAGAACGTACCGGTACCCATCTCTACTCCTTGGTGCATATAAGTAGTAAGGAAAATTCTTATGCAGCCACCTAGGTGGCTCATTTTGGACTACTTCTTCCCCCTAGTGTCCACTTATCATGTTGCATTTGTAAGATTCACGTTACAAAATAGGTCATTTTCTCTGAATGGGATAAGCGGAAAAGAATGGATGGATCGTGGCTCATATGGATGGATCATGGCTTTTATTTCATCATAATATTTTGAGACCAGCAAATGATAACACAGATAACAATTTCCCTGAATAAGATAGCAATATAGTCAAGCAAATTTGTGGATATTTTCTTTTTATAAATTGTTGGTTTCACCAACAGTAATGATCAGTTATTTTTTTATTATTATTATTATTATTATTATTATTATTATTATTATTATTATTATTAATTAATTAATTAATTAATTTATTTATTTATTTTAATTTAGTAAATGCCTTTACCTACCAAGTGAGAACCAGACAAAAACTGTGAATTCAGGTTTAAGAAGTGGTTTTATTTGTTTTTATTTTGCGGTCAGATCAGGCAGTGATCCATGTTTCACTGTGGTGGAATAATGCCTTTATTAAAAACTGCTTAAATCAGGGTTCACTTGACATGTGGTTATAGTGCAAAAAATGTCAAAACTCCTCCACCCACCCCACTCATAATTAATGGGTGTGGGCAGATTGCTTCCATTGTTGCGATGACTCCCAATCCTTTGTTACAAATTAGTCGGCGGCCTCCAGCTCGTCCAGTGCATCCTGGAGCCTGTGCAAAACACAAATGAAACATTTTGACTTCCAGAATATTCACATTAAACTGGCCTTGAGACCATAACCAGCTGAGATTTCTGCCTCGCATAATGTCTTGATGCATGCTCAATCATCCAGGTAAGGAAATCCCAGAAAGTTGATTCTGTTTATCTAGATGTAGCGTTTTGATTCTGCTCATCTAGATGTTGCGTTTTCAGAAAACACTACATCTAGATAAACAGAATCAACTTTCTGGGATTACCTTGCATAATGGTGTAGTTATTTTTGGCCATGCAACTCATGCTATCAATTGATTTTCATATTCACCTCCACCATCACCATCATCTTGCCTTGACCTGCATTTTTTTTCTTCCACCACATCTTTATAGCTCTTACTTGAAGTCTCCACCATCCAGCAGAGTCTTGTAAGTGCTGATCTCGCCCTCAAGTTTCATCTTCATGTTGAGCAGCGCCTCGTACTCTTGGGTCTGCTGCTGTATGTTCGCGCGTAAGCTAGCCAGCTCCTCCTCCAGCCGGATAATGAGGGCGTTATACTTCTCCATTTCCATGTTGTTACGTAGCTCTGTGTTGCGCAGGGTGTCTTCTAAAGAGGCTTTCTAATAAAAGGAGAAATAAAAGCTGTAGTATATGCTTTGCTAACTAAGAGTGGGTGCAGTGGTCATGGTATTCAACTGTGCCAATTTTGTAGTAAAAGATATAAAGAATGCATTATGGAATAGGGTCATAAACTTAGAAAGGATTTGATAATTTCATGTTTATAAATAAAATCAGTGAAAATGCTTACTAAGCTCTGTTGAGATGCAAGTTCAATTTCCAGAGTCTGTATCTGTCGTAATAAGTCGCTCTTCTCCATTTGGGCCCCCTGGAGAGCCTCTGTGTTCTGTGATACCTGCACCTGCACATCTGCAATCTGCCGGGGACATGAAAGGAAGACGGTCAGAAACACAGTGGCTCAGCGTGTCTTTTGAATCAAACTTCTTGATGTCCACTGTACCTGATTTTCATGCCACCGTTTGAGGTCCTCTGCGTTTTTCAATGCGATCTTCTCGTAGTTGGCTCTCATGTCCTCCATGATCTGGGACAGGTCCTGACCTTTGGGAGCGTCTACATCCACCTGCACACCTGACTGTGAGATCTGACTCCTCAGCTCCATCACTTCCTGTTGGATCAGCAGAATGAGAAAAGAAATGAAGACGACAACAAAACGTGTGACTCTATATGTTATTATCAATCTGATGAACCGCAAGCTCACGTTCTCATGGTTCTTCTTTAGGAATAGAAGCTCCTCCTTCACGGCTTCAATCTCGTTCTCGATGTTGAGCCTGCTCATGTTCGTTTCGTCGAGGACTTTCTTCAGCCCGCCAATGTCGGCCTCCACGGACAGGCGGATCGCCATCTCATTCTCAGATCTGTGGGAATGAGCAGACACAGCGTATGAGAGACACAATCGCAGAGTGTAAGAAGGACTCCACATGCAAAGACGAGACGATCACATACTTGACTTTGAAGTCGTCGGCAGCGAGGCGGGCGTTGTCAATCTGAAGCACTAAACGGGCGTTATCCATTATTTTATCGAAGATCTGGACAGGAAAATAAAACATTGTTTAAAAAATTATTATTTTATTATTTTCATTTTACTTGATTCTGCTGTTTAGAAAGAACAGAGCTGCTTAACCCGTGCACAATTCAGTAGCCTGTTCTAATAATTATGTGCTTTGACACAGCAGTTTTTGTAGGCCCGACTTGCCTTATGTAACCACCGATACTCAAAAAGTCAAACTGCAAAAACCGACCGCAGCATGATTGAATCCATAGTAACCTGTTGTCATAAAAGAAGAACCATACACTGAAGAACAGGAAGCGAGGGTGTTCCTGTGCCAAAACAGAATCTGGTTTGTTTTAGCGTTGCCAGAGCAACGTGTATCCTGTCTCAATAAATCATAGAGAGAAAGTTTCTCTTCTGTCCACCCAACTGCACATGTCTCTGTCTGTCTGTCTCTGTATGTATCACCGATCGCATCTATGCGTGCACAGAGGGGAAAATTCTTTATCGTGACAGTGGCAGTGAGTCTATGATTTCTTCTTGTTTCCTGTCACAGAAGGGAAGGGGAAATACTTTAGTGTGGTAAAAAAAAAAAACCCCACCATAAATGTGTCATTATGTGATGCAGAAAAGCGGGACTCTGGAGAAGAATGTGACATTTGACTGTGCTGATTGTTATACAACCACTGCACTGACACGCATCTATCTGTGCGTGTGTGTGTGCACACTCACTCTGGCACTATGAGATCGCTTTGTATGTACGAGTGCCACACATCTGTTTCCCATTGAGCGCCTCCTACACTATGCATGCTTGTAGAATCCACATCTAACAAGCAGAACCATTTAGAAATGCTTTTGTCTGCTGGTTTTCTGAGAGCTTCTCAGTCCGTCTCTCGTGATGATACCCTTGTGTTGGTGATTCATCAGAGGAAGTTGGTTCCAGTCGAGAGTTTTATGGGGGAGGGGACTGGCTACAGTTCAGCTGCCACACCCGTCGTTCTCTTTAAAGAAATTTGATAACTTACAAAGGAAACACTGCTGGTCTCAGTAAAAGCATTCTCCAGCTTCATTTTCAAACACAGGTGATCTTTAAATAAAGATTATGTTAAAACCTTCATGCTGGAAATATGCAGTGTTGAGTGCTGTCACATGCACTCATTGATTCTCAAATTTTAGCCCAGCTAAACTATTTCTAAAGTATCTTTCTCACTGTGTCTTATCAAACACCTTTTCACTTTTCTAACATTTTCATTTGTTCTCAGTTCTTACCTGTCTGCGTAAGTCGTCTATGATGGGCTCATACTTGCTGTAGTCTCTCATGTCAGGCCCTCCTTTCTCCAGGGCCTCCATGATCTTCAGCTCCAGTTCCTTGTTGGCCTTTTCCAGGGTCTTCACCGTCTCCAGGTAATTGGCCAGGCGATCGTTCAGGTTCTGCATGGCTCCCTTCTCATTGCCCAGGATCGAAGCACCGGAGCCACCGCTGGCTGTCACGGACGCGCTGGCACCACCGTAACCGGCACCACCGTAACCGGCACCCATGCCTCCACTCAATCCACTGCTCAGCTTAAAGGAGGTTGAAGGTCTAAGTGGAATGCCAGAACGCAGGGAAGATGCAGAAGCAGAGGAGATGCGAACATCCTGTCCACCAGCACCAGCATAAATACTGGCAGCACGGTACACTGGGGTAGAGCGGGTGAAAGACATCCGACTAGATCTTGTGGTCATGTTGGAGAAGTTTAGACACGGCAGAGGATGAAGTGAAAAATGAGATGTGGAGACTCACTGCTGGCTGGTCTAGAAAATGACGCCGGCAGTGGGAAGTGGGGAACTTATACTCCTGCCTCTCTCCCCCAATGAAAGCTGGTCTCTCAGACCCTGCCCACTTCAACATCACCCCAGTCTTTGTTTCCTGTTTCACTCACTCACGCACTCACTCACTCACTCACTCACTCTCTCATATGCTTCCTTTTTAACCCACAATGTTTTTTCTGTCTCCAAGGAAATGTGTTAAACATATTTTGTGGTGTAAACATGTAATAGCCTTCTGAGCAGATAACGGAACTACAGAGACCACATAAACCAACGCACACAACAAATAACAGAAAGCAGCAATGGACAAGCATATGTTTCTAGCGAGAATTAAAAGCAAATATTAAAGGGTAAAATATGGTGAGTATGCAACTAAATACTTTTGGTTTGCCCGAGAAAGGAATAATGCCTAGTACTTGCTGCGTGCTTGCAAGTTTGTGGTCAGCCAGGCCCAAAATAAACAGACTGTGCCAGCCTTCCTATCTTAACTGAACTGAATACAGTATGAAACAGCTACAACTAAAACATGGCGTTAAAGAAATGTCTCGATCAGATTAAGCAGATTTAGAAAAACCACACCAGAAGTGATGCCATCTGATTTACTAACAGACTCAGCCACGACTGTGATCGAATTCCAGCACACTGAGTAGGATGAACAATGATGAACAAAGAAATCGGACATAGTGCTAGGAATACCTGTGACACCCAAGCTTCAGCTGGATCTAAAGGCTCTGCAAGAGATGAAAAACAAAGGTTAGCTGATACCCAGGTCAAAGTACAATCAAAAGGAAATAAAAGCTGCCCTCATTCAACTGTCACAGTATAGGCAATTATGTGCACAAATAAATTTCTATTGAGGATTCTGAACAATTATCTTTGAAGTCTTATCTTATTTTGTGCCTCTGGACATTGCAGTTTTTCTCTTATCCTTTGAGAACCTCAAAGAAAGTAAAACAGAATACTGCAGTGCTCCTTGTAGCTGTCCTAAAAACGTGTTTGCAACATGATGAAGGTGAATAAACGAAGTGGAACATACACATATAGAGGGCTGATATATACACTGGAGTAAAACCCTGTGATAGACTCTCAAACACAAAAACCTTTACTTTTCTTAAATCCAGTTGCAGTATTTAGTGCTCCAGCATGACCTTGGAAGCGCTTAAGTGAACCTAAAGTTGTGGCCAGAGAGGGTTTTCCTCTCTGAGCCCTTAGAGACCTGGATAATGAAGCACCCACAGGGGGAAATTCCAAAGACTCAAACAACCTCCTGCGCCCCCTTACAACCTCATTCTTTTCATTTCTGTTCCTCCCTTCGCTTCCAAGCTTGATCAGCTTTCACCATGTCTCATTTCCACCCTATTACTGTGTATGTCTTTATTAATTTAATTTAGTAACACTCAGTAAGAAGAGAAGAGCTTGTACTGTAGAGTGGCAAAATTGCAAAGAAAAAGCAAAGAATGCACCGCAGCAGAGGCAGATTAGAGGAACGATGAATTAAATCAGCATGACTCATACCTCATGACTTGTGGCCGCCGTCTCGTTTGTTTGAATGTGTGTTGGCAACCTTTTCCCCAGGCCAGTAAGTCCCAAACCTTGCAGTGACAAACAAACTTGAGCTACAGGTTTATATAAGACAGCTTAATCTCTAAATTGCAGAAAACATCCCAGATTCAATCAAGACTCTTATCTTTAAATCCCGGCTCACACCACTAAGATTTCTTTTTAAACCAAAGATAATAAAAGGAAAATAAGGGGATACTGGAGAGAATGGAGACTGTGAGTCATAGTAACAGACAGCAGGAGTCTGGAAACCACTGCAGAAGTTTCTGTTCTTTTACAAATCTTGGCTAACTGTCAGATTACTGCCATGCTCAGCCTGCTGCGGCCTTGAATTCATTTTACTTCCCTCCTTCTTTCTCTTTAGTTTCCTTTCTTTACAGTGTAAACCGTATGCTCCTAGATGTATACAAAATCCAAAATCTACATTTGCATAGATGCATTTGCATATTTATTATCATGCATATTGTATCTGTGGTCGCGTCACACATACACAAAACAGTGCTGACATGCATGTGAGTGTGATACACTCTAAGTGACTCACATTTCGGCATCCTCCCTTCCTCTTTTTTGTCATTCTTTCACTGACTCATCCAAGATGCTCAAAGATACCAAAGAAGGGACCTTGTTTAAATTTGTACATACAGTACTGTGTAAAAGTTGTGAGCCATCCCTGACTTCTTTATGTTTTGCTTCCCAGGAGCCACTTTTTAAAAAAAAGTGGTCTTCAGCAATAGTTCTCCAAGCTTTCTTAAGGTCTTTCAATTTTTCTTTGGAGATTAGCAGCTGTTATACTTTTAGTCCATTCCTTGCAGCTGACTATTTTTAGAGCATTTTTGTATGTTAAGCCACTCAACACTGACCTATGAATCATTCAAGTATGAACAACTTAATAAAGAGTCCATTTTAAATCTTTGGGCACTTTTTCTCTAGCAGCCTGTAGACTTGTAGTCAAGACCGCCTAAACCAAGACCAAGACAAGACCAAGACCAGTGGGTATCAAGACCAAGACAAGACCAAGACCAAGACAGACTGAGTCAAGACCAAGACAAAGTCGAGACGAGCAAAGACCGAGACAAAAAAGTCTTTAAACTGCAGCCAGATGCAACTTCGTTTACTGGTGTCAGGCATATTTATGTGTTTTTGCGATGCACTTGCACAGCCCTCCTCACCACTGTCTACTGTCTCACTCACTTACTGAGAGGACAGACACACGCTCCACTTGACTGTCACATCTCTTACCCTCTCTGTTTTTCACATAATGATATTATCCTATATCCTCACATGTGATTGGCCACAGTATGGAGGGATTGGAGCATAGCTGAGTCACTGTGTGAGAGCTGAGCAGCGAAAGGAAATTAAGTGAGGAGCCGGCTCTCGCTCAATGGGAGTCGACTCTTCTGATTCACTACAAAGCACTCTCTAAGCGCGGCTCTTAGAGCTGATGCTTTTGCGCATGACACATTATCGAACGTTACGTTGTGTGTCATGGATACTGTTGACTCCAAATCTCCCGACCACTATGTCGATCTGAGACAGCAAGACAGAGACAGTGAGACCAAGACAAGACCAAGATCAAAGTCCGTCGAGACCAAGACAAGATCAAGTGAAGACCAAGACCGGTCTCGAGACATCCTACTCTAGCAGCTTGTTACAAAATATGTTCTCATTTATTTACTTGATTCTATGAAAAATGTCAAAGATAACACATTTTGAAAGGCATAAAATGTTATCTTTGGATCAATGAGGTAATTCCCAAAGAGCTATTAGCTGAAAACGTGGCATATCTTAACACTGTGTGCGGTGTGTCCTTAGTGTTGCCTGTGACGTAAAAACTATCTACAGCAGATAATCGGTGCCTGAAAGTCATGTCCTCTCCACAGAGCTCGGACCTCGACATTACTGAAGCAGTGTGGGATCATGGCGAGAGAGAACGGAACAAAAGCAAGCAAGCATCCAAAGAAGACTACTTAAAGAAATGATAAGAAAGCTGCCTCAGAGATTCCAGGCTGCGTTAAAGAATAGAGGTGGTCACACTAGATATATATATATAGAGAGAGAGAGATATGTTTTTATTGATTAGCATTCAAATATCTCAGTGAAGACAGAACAAAGATTTACCACAAAGCAAGAAAGCAAGAAAGCACACTGGATATTGTCAGTAGAATTGTACAAACACATTTATCTTCTAGGTTAATGGGTCCTATGGACCATTGGCAGACAGGAAAGCTCACACAGCAGAGGTTATTGAATTGTGTCGCCTAAGAGACATTTTCTCTGTGAGATGTCATTTTCATTTCTGGCACAAAGACATTTCACAGGAAGACCTAAAATGAGCCCGAGCTATGAGTTCAAGCTGATGCATTGGAGAGTCACCTACATGCCCCTGTGCACAAGGAGACAGATTAGCTTAGGTTCATTGCAGAGTTCAGCAATATAACTGATTTAAAAAATATCTGTTTCAGTGTTAATTTCACGATTTTATTCATTGTGTTTCAAAACGTATTTGAGGAAATGTGCTAGTTTATTCTCTACCAAAGTCCATGCCCTATTTCTCAGTTTTAAAGTGATTCACACTATAATTCTTCAGTTTAATATCTTTTACTATGCACCTCCTGTAAATTAAGATTCCCAATGTAGACGTTTGCACAATACCAACAAATAAATGACTTGCTTTATACATGGAAATGGATTCACATTACTGAATCTACCTCTGCGGTCCAACCACAAGGGGGCACAAGTCTCAAAGCAAACAAACCTACTGGAGCGGAAGAAGGGGTGGTCCTCTGCCTTTAGTGAGTTTATGTCCATTGAGTTTATATACCTCTTACCAAGCATATAAATGTGTATTTCATCACTGTATGTGGGTGTTTTTTGTTTGAACAGGCATTCAAGGGTGAAGCAGGAAAAGAGTTTTATAGCACATACTTTTGATTGCTTTCAAGGCTTGGCAAGCTCCTCTAAACACAGCAAAGTCCAACTTTTGAAACCAAAGAAGAAAATAAAATAACAGCAACGCCACTTGTTACTGTAATGAATATTTTTGCATGCCTGCTTTTTATGCCATTTCTAAGTATCTGCATTTTAATCTTTTATCATATACCTGTCAAATGATAGCTACACAACAGGGGAAATAATTGGATCACTTGCTGAATTTGTAACTTTTCTCATTTGTAAAGAAATGATCCGTCGGTCATTTTTATTGTAGTTTAATTTTAATGGGGAGAGACAGAATATCAACAATTAAAAACAAAACACATTATACAGGGTGGGCCATTTATATGGATACACCGTAATAAAATGGGAATGGTTGGTGATATTAAAGTC